AAAAGCCAACATGAAAATTTGCTTTCTTACGAGGGGAACTTTTTCTGACCTGTACTACATTCAATTCAATTCAATTCAATTCAATTCTCATTAATTTCATTCTAGGTTAAAAATTTACATTGATAAAAAAAAAGATACAAAATAGTTCATAAACAAATTTAGAAAAAGGAATTGGGGAACTATATGTATTCATTTATTGTATTTTTATCATATACATCTGGGCCCCTACATGAACATGGACATATTTGTTTCTTTTGTGCAAGTAGCCTCTCCACTCGTAGAACGCAGGAAAAATAATGCAAAACATCTTAGCACGTTTCTCCCCTTTGGAAGCCTAAAAGCACCATGAATATTGCATGGCCCGTGGGGGTACTTGAGGTGCACCGTGTTTGAGTGTGGCATTTAGCAGTGTGGATCCACGTTACAAACTTGAATAGAGAGAGAGATTGGACTGCAACTATATGTACTTACTGTAGGCCTACCAAGGGTGGACGACTGTACATGTGCAATGAATGAACATCTATAATGTGTGTATTATCATATTATGCAAGGACCTTATGTTCCAATTTTACTCCGATTACTGTGGACAACCTTCATTTAGTAGTCCTGTAGTCCATTTGTTCAAAATTGCATTGTGATTTGGGGTCGAACAATATATTTGTAACTTATTTAAATTTTAATAACCCAATAAACCCTATAGAGGGTTCAAAAGATTCTTCAATACAACATTAAAACATATTCATAACTTAGGAGTTATTCATGTACATGTAGATGTTATACCGCATTTTGTAACATACTCATGCACATGCACATGTACTTGTTGTATGTGTGTACATTTTTATGAAGTATGTACACATCGTGTGCATCCTTTATCAGATGTTTATTTCATTATCATTCCATTCCTAATGTAAGGCTTTCATCATCGCTTCAATAGGCTTTAAAAAGTAATGTATCGTAATGGAGATGAAACACAAGTTAATGTAATAACACCCACTCTCTCTTGTACCAAAGCACTATCGTAATCTTGAAACAAATACAGTGTATGATGTGTTAACTGATCCATACAAATGTAAAATGGAATAGAACTGCAATCTGTTAAAAGCTCTGGCATGCTTTCCGCAATGTGTTGGTAATGTCTTCTATTCAATTTGATTAGATTAATAATCATGCAGACTGCAGAGCCTCACGAGGAGAGCGGGCTCGGCATCTCACATTTCAGTGTGACTCATGGGGACTGGTGGGTGATCGCAGAACAAGCGCCAGAGATGCTGTTTTCACCCCTCTCGCAAAACATGTGTCTTTGACATCTTGCCTTTGGGTGTACAGTATATTCGGAGGGGTTCAATCCTGCGTGAGGTGGCACATAAATTACCATCATAAAACACACCACATTGTAGTCTGTCCGTCTCTCTTTCTCTCTCTTTCTCTCGCTCTCTCTCTCCCTTTCTCTCTCTCTTTCTCTCTTTTTGTTTCTCTCTTTTTCTCCCATTCACCCTCTCTCTCTCTTTCTCTTTTTCTTTCTCTCTCTCCCTCTCTCTCTCCTTTTTCTCTCTCCTTTTTCTCTCTCATTCACTCTCTCTCTCTCTCTTTTTCTCTCTCATTCATTCACTCTCTCTCTCTCTCTCTCTCTCTCTCTCTCTCTCTCTCTCTCACTTATCACATTGTCCAGTCCAGTGCGAGGGATGATCATTTCATTTCTCGCAGGCACTAGTACATGTACATGTAGTTTTTAGTCACCTAAGAAATTTGCCTGTTAAACCCCAGGTGCTTACTCATCATGTAATGCTGGAAGGGACACTTGCTCTTTTGGCTACCTTTTTAAGGCTTTCAGTCTCGCCAGAGAATCTTCATGTATTTCACTGTTTTAAAGGTAAAGACCAGTTATGGTCATGCGATTGCATTGTGAAAGAAACGTTGTGGAATCGATCAGAAAAGGTTGATCATCTAGCATCTAGCATCTGCAAGGTTCTGGAATCATCAAAATGATAACAAATTTGGCCCATTCTTCGTAAAGTTACAAGCACTATACACAGAAAGATGTATATGGGACTACCCTATATCTCTCACAGACCATGAGAGAAACAAATTTACCAAATATATGAATTAGTAAGCGGTTTCCCGGCAAATTTGTTATCATCATGTATTAGTCAAAACATATTCTTTCACATGATTGGTAATGAGAGCTTCCATTTCATTTTTTGAAATTGGGGCGTTTCCAATACTGGTCTTTACCTTTAACAAGGGCTTTGTTTTACTACATTGTATATTGAAAATTCAAAGGAGGCGCGATAGCTCAGTCGGTAGAGCGGTGGTCTCGTAATTCGGTGACCCGAGTTCGAAACCAAGGCGATGCGGTAGTGCCCTTGGGTAAGGTATTAATCCTCATTACCAGGTCCCTCGGAGAGGACTTAAAGCCATCGGTCGTCTGGTTGCTTACTTACAAGCATTTATGCTTTCGTAACAGTCGGGTAAAATAACCACCACCACCATTCAATACATGTTCATGTACATTCTTGGTCTTGTGGAACAAGAATGTCAGGAGCAGACATGCTGGTATTTAAGTTGTAATTTAACTCTTATAAAAAGGACCACAAACCTACTTTAATTGTAATAACGACAACATACATGTACAGTATAAGGTCAACAAAAAAAAAGGGGGGGGGGTTTACCTGTTGCAGTTTTGATTCTGCATTGTACATGATAGTTATTGAGAAGACAATAATGTGATTACTCAATTTGTCAAAGTGATTTTCTCCAGATTGCAGATTTATAAGGAAATGTTTTGCATTATCTGCCGTATCATATGCCTGACCTTATTCAACCCACATCCTATGACCTGTGTCACATGTACATCATTTACATGTATAGGCTCTATCCTCGTGAAATAATTTCCCTTTCATATTGTGTTTTTCCCATTGTTTTATTTGTTTGTTAGTTATAATCATGTACATGTATGTATTGTTCAATTTGGGGTCAACAAACTATAAGACTATTTGCTCTTTTAGTCTCGTAATTTGTTTTTCTCTAATTGCTCTGTATTGATTTCTATTGATATTACCCTGTTTATATTTCATGTACCGATATCTTGTTTTTATTGAGAATGAAATAAAGACTGAACTGAACTCTCTAACTCTCTATTCAATCTCTCAAATGTTTGCATTGCAGGATTCTAGTCACATGACAACGTTGGCAGAGTAGAGGACAGCCCCCATGGAGGCCGATAGCTTCTAGGGAGTTTCACCAAGCTATGGATCATCTGAGATACAAATTACACAAGTGTCTGGTAAGGAAGACTAATTGTATTTGATCAAGTTCTTTTCTTAGATACAAATTACACAAGTGTCTGGTAAGGAAGACTAATGTCATTCAAGTTCTTTTCTTAGATACAAATTACACAAGTGTCTGGTAAGGAAGACTAATGCCATTCAAGTTCTTTACAAGCACATAATTATTTGAGCCCAATATGTTTCGCTTTTTATAGTGAGTAACACATGAAGAAGAAGAGTGAGAAAGAAAAAAAAAAGGAAAAAAAAAAAAAAAAAATTAGAAGAGAGAACTGCCTATATTAACATTTAGAATCTTCATGTATATAATCTGTTTTTTATTGGTGTTCGGACAAAATTTTGAAGAAACGTGGTGGAGAGGACTAGCCTATTGGTGGACGTCAGAGGGCCTAGGCTCAGCATTAGGCTGAGTTGAGAAGCTTGACACAATGTACCGTGTCCGAGCTGGTCCTTGGGCGTCCTATATAGCCAATAAGCCTTTTGCTCGCCAACCACTGAATTCTTCAACATTAAACAAAAGTTTAGCTTTTAAAAATCCAATCTATCCAAATCTATATATCAAAAAAAGTAAATCTAATTTTAAAGGAATAAAAATCCTAAGAGAAGAGGTGTAAATATTCACTTCTGAATGACAAATGCCTATAAACTAAAACAACAACAACTTTACTGTGTACTGTACATGCCTTATTTAATATGCACTTTTATAATGTTGTTTTTTTTGTAAAATTTGTAATTGTACAGATTGAAGGGTTTTTACAGTATGCCTTTGAAGAAGCAGTCTGAAAAAAGATGTTGGAAGGGAATTTTTTAGGGGAATTACCTACTTTTCAAACGAATAGTGTGGAAATCACACTTCAGTGCCTTTTTTGTGTGTGAAGTTTGTTCACCTCGTAGACGTCAGTAACTTGAGGCTTTTTTTTATGTATCCAGTAACTTTATGGAGTTGTTGTCCATATTGTATTTGCACTTGGGTTGGAATATAGACTTAATAGGGGGGGGGGGGGTCCGCAATGAAATTCTGAGAGTGATGGAATATACAGTATATACATGTACCCTACATGTACAGTGTATGTGAAATTTGAAATTTTTGGAGTTCAGAGTTAGATTAGGGGCACTAGTGCTGAGCTCTTGAATATGACATCTCATTCTCAAGGCATTGGTTAAAGTTTAACCTTGACCAATTAGGAGTAGATCACTTCCCTAACAAAAAGTACAACATTTGATGAGTATTTTGTTTGTACAACACCTTTATCAAATGTACTTGAAGCCCTGAGTTTGTTTTTGACCTTGTTTTATCTTGATGTCATAAAGCCTTGTACAGTAGTGGACATATTTGCATAACTGGAAGCCAAGGTTTGGAAAAATACTGAAGGGTCCACAACTATTGAATCAGTACTGTACCTGTACATAAACATTTTAGTCCTCATTTTATTCAGTGCAGGTACATGTAATGTACATGTAATGTACGTCTAGTGTCAACTTTATTAAGTCAGTTGCATTAAGTTCTTTATCGAATTAACAGTTTGGAGGAAATATGGTTCAACAGGTATGTTTCTTTCCTTGTTTATATTCTTGTTCATTTATCTGTGAAGAATTTGCAGGAAGTCTGTATGCCTCTACCTAGCCGTCTGCACTTTCCATTTTTTGTATGTTGATTATTTTCTTTTAAATACTGGTCTGGAAATATATAAAAGTTTTAGTAGAGATATTGGATTTGTTGAAATATACATGTACGGTATGTCTTTTCTTCAACATCATTTAGTCTATTCAAGACCACCAAAGTGTTATTATGTTTCTGAATTTGTCTGCTGATGGGCACTCTACTCTTGGGCACTTACCGGTACATGTACATGCATGTAGCCTCCTCCCCCCCAAAGAAAGGGAAATTTATTGGACCTTTTTTTTTTCATTGATAAAACTGAGCCAGCATTCCCTCTTATGGAAAATGTGTACCTGTATGGATGACTCTAAAATAGCACACCTTCCTCAACCGATACCATCACTTACAAATGGAGCATGGATGTTTATGGTATCAGAGTTCATCATGAAAATTATGAGATGGTTGCGGGTGAGCTCACACACATTGTAATTTAATTGAGGATCTGTTGCACGTGTGTGGGTGCACACCAGTATATACGCACACTCCACTTCTCTCACTCTCCCATCCATCTGATTGGTGGGTCCCTTGCCTCTAATCTTGGTACACCCAATACCACGTATGGTACATCAGCTGAATAATAGTGTTGATATTAGCGGCCTCTCATGCAAAATTTCACACAATGCTGCCTTGGTCCCCCCACATGCTACTATACAAGCCTCCTGCATTTTACTTCCTTCTAGCCGGTAGAAACAAAAGGGAAAGCAGCGTTTCATTTTCAGTAGGAGAGCCGTCCTCACTCTGGATCATGATGTGGAATACTACAGGACGCTTTTAATGTGCCGTCATCATTTTTACATGACTCGCTATCATTTCCTCCATTTTTGTTTCCATGGATCTATATTTGCAGATGGTTAATGATTGATAAACGAGTATCTCATGCATTGTTGGAACATGGACACACTAAAAGTGGGAGGTCCATGGGTGGAACATTCAAGACAAGTAGCAAAGCTAAATATTAATCAGTTGGACTTCTGATCAGCAGTCAAACCATCAAGTTCTGAGAGAAATCTGGGTGTACGGCTTGATTCTCGTTTAAACATGGAGAAGTGTGTACATGGATGTGTATCCAACGCCTACATATCTGCCTTTTGTACAATCTCCGTTACATTCATAGATACTTGGACCGGAAAACTTATGTTGAAGATGCACCTGTTTTTAGGAGCTTTTGAATAGCTGTTGATTGTGTGTCTGTCAAGTACCACTGTTAGGAGTTTTGTTATCACGTCGCAATAGAGTATATTTACATAGTACCTGCTCTATATAAATTGATCTAATTAATATTATTATGAAACAGCTTCCATGTTTTTCGGATATAGCAACCTGTTTGATTTGTCATGGTTCATCGCTATGCTTTTGTCACCTATGCTCTTTTTAGTCAACTTTCGTTACCTCCCCCAAACACCGGTCATTCGCCTGAAATCTATGAGAACTTGCTCTAATGTTGAAAAGCAGGAAATGGATAGAACGACCCCAGAAATAAAAATTAAGTTCTGATATTAACGTTCAAGTGCCTCGGTGGATAACCATCATTGGTAGCGTACAGTAGCAGCGTCTGCAGTAGGTACGGTCCAATCGAAGCGCTGAAATTGCGCTGTTGCACCTTAGGCCACAGAGACATGGAAACCGAAAATGCTGCTGCTGCTGAGAGAGTCTTAAAGACGCATGATTCCTCAGATGTTCTTTCTCCTGTCTCCAAGTTAATGCAAATACTGCAAGTAAGTCAATATATACCTCTACAAAGACTGTTTAATAGGAGCCTGTGTCTACATGGTCCATTGAAATTGTATGTTTGTATGAGAATTGCCCTTTTCACTGTGTAAATTGGTGTGACAAAACTTAATTGGAAACCATATAATAATGATGATTGATGTAGTATAGGTAACCGTCTTGCTGGTTGTCATAGTTCATTTTTCAGATGCAAAGTACCCGATACATGCACTTTCATATTATCTAATTAGTGCGTAGAGAAAAATTTATAACAAGCGTTGTTTGAGTGTTACAGTAACTGTGGTTATTAATCACCATGATTATGTAGTTCCTTGTTGATGAACTTGAACAACAATATCATTAATATAGGCCTGGAATTGCCCATTTATCATTTTTATCAATAGTTAGTTTCCATTCCAAAAAAGTCATCTGGAGCTATTAAAAAAACATTGAAGGGGGCAGAGTTTGGTCTTTGCCGTCATCAGAATGAGTGCAGTAGATTTCGCTCCATAGGCCTTTTAGAACTTGCAGTAGCTCCTTATATGTAGCTTTCCACCTTGAGATTGTATTCTAAATTTTTTGTTTCTTTGTTTTTTGTTTCTTTCTTTATTCATCTATTTTTAGAACTGAATGCACACCGTAGTTCCGTTGGGAGAAAATAATGATATCCTGCACTCATAATTGTTGTGTAAAAGTTATTTAAACAAAAATTGGGGTCTTCAAAACTGAACAAAGAAAAAAAAACAGCAACATAAAAAAATATAAAATGAAAGGGAATGACTTAATTAATCACAAGTCATTTACATGTACACCTTCCCTCATAGATTATATAGCCTAGACTTTTCATTCATTTTGAACTCGTTTTCTTTTCTGCCATAACTTAGCCCGCATTTTCTGTTTTAAATATCCTCTCTGCATTAGGCAGTTGATTTGTGTGTAAAGGGTTGTTTATCATGCAGTCCTAGACTTGTAATTCTTGAACAAATATTAGGCTGACATGGTGTGGGTTTAGGACCTAATCTTTGGCAGTTAATAGTGATAAGAACTAATCAGGGGATTATTTTTTAAAGAGGTGTGTAATGTATTGTCTGTACTGGTCACTAGTGGTTTGTGTAGGACGTAATCATGATAAGGTACATGTATGTACAGTTGTAGAAGCCCCCCTTTACACCAGAGGAAAATCATTCATAAACTTCTACATCTAGATAATGACTGTATAGTGAACAAGGTGTACATGTTATAAAAGGATGTGTGCAGTTGTACATGTTTATGTACAGTTTGCATAATTTACAATGTGCCTTACATGAAGATCATGTTCACCTCTTGCAACAAGCTTCCAACATTTAAAGCCTGGGGCAGTTTAAGGGATTCGTACAAAAACTTTTGCTTGAGTAGCATTTAAGACCTCCTGCGAGAGACTGTGCTACAAAGGCTATTCAAATCACCTACTGAAGGGATTTTGCTGGTACCATGACAATTATGAATACAAACAGTTTGATATATAAGCAAACAAACGAGATGTCTGCCCCATGTGTTTGTTCTTACACCGTTTAAAAAATACGTTGAAGGCATTTATCCGTTAAAGAAGTTTCCTCTCCTAAAATAAATGATGATTCTAGTCGTAAACCTTTTTGCCAAAGGTTTACCTTCTATAGCACCACCCAACCCTATTGACAAAATGTCTCCAAAATTGGGCACTCGCTGTTTGGCACTCACTGCACTGTTTGCCAACTACATGTACATGTACCAGCATTTGCAATGTTCAGCAAATATGTAACTTTGCAATTTATGAACTACATGCAGTACATGTACATGTGCACATGTAATATGTTTAATAATGGTCATACAGTGTATGTGCAGTCTATCTATGGCATTCCCTGGTGAGTTAAAGGTAAAGACCAGTTATGGTCATGCGATTGCATTGTGAAAGAAACGTTGTGGAATCGATCAGAAAAGGTTGATCATCTAGCATCTAGCATCTGCAAGGTTCTGGAATCATCAAAATGATAAGAAATTTGGCCCATTCTTCGTAAAGTTACAAGCACTATACACAGAAAGATGTATATGGGACTACCCTATATCTCTCACAGACCATGAGAGAAACAAATTTACCAAATATATGAATTAGTAGGCGGTTTCCCGGCAAATTTTTTATCATCATGTATTAGTCAAAACATATTCTTTCACATGATTGGTAATGAGAGCTTCCATTTCATTTTTTGAAATTGGGGCGTTTCCAATACTGGTCTTTACCTTTAACCATGATTTTATATGAAGTTATCTTCTCTTCTTGTGTGAAAGAGGGTGCGTTTATTGACCAAATTTTTGCCTAGAATCAGGTTTCTCAAACGTCTTTCAGGCAAATTTTGAAGGTGATAAACGCAAAGCCTTTTTTAAACGTCTTTAGATATGGGCATATCTAAAGACGCAAAAAGGTGTGTTTTGAATGTGACATACAGCCAGAATCACGTTTCTGAGAGATGATAAACGCAAAGCTGTTTTGAACCCCACATACAAAACGGACCTTCCCAGGTTAATTTCCGGTTCGGTTTGATATGTACATATCTAGTGGCAAGACATGATAAACACAACCAGAGACATTGTTATCCTCGTCTGAACAAGGAAATAGATCCTATTTATTTTACTTCCAGTTCGGAGAAGTACTTAATACATGATTATGTAGGCCACATATTTGTATTAGATTTCCTATAGGTCGTTTTAACAGAAACATGTTGGAATATATTTGCAAGTTTCAGTTCGCACACTTTGTAATGTGTTACAATAGCATCGGATGTGATCAACAGGTGCATTTGTCTTTTATGAGTGCATTCAGTTGCACCACTCCTAACCTGCAATTTCTAATTTGATGATCTTGTTTAAAGGTAAAGGTCAATTTTGGAAACGCCCCCCTCTCAAAAAATGAAATGGAAGCTCTTATTACCAATCATGTGAAAGAATATGTTTTGACTAATACGTAATGATACAATTTTGCTGAGAAAATACCTACTAACTGTTATATTTGGTAAATTATTATATCTATTTGGACCTATCAAATGAGTGTTGGATCACCTTTTAAATTCAGTTGCCCTAAAGAATTAATTACCCCCCCCCCTCCTCCCCTTTCAAGTACCAGTATTAACTGAATACAGCTTGCATGCTGAGCAGAGCCTATACTTGCATGTTAAATGTTTCATTCAAATATTCCCTACAAATGCAAATGCTAAAGGGAACAGGCTCGTGTGGAGCTACGGAACAATAGCAGAAAGCGCCATGCATTATTGATTTCCTATTGATTGTTTGAATCCCTCGTCCACATATTTACAATAACAGTATATTTCTATTTAGCAACACTATGGGCGATTTGATTCAAGCTAGATATAAACTAGGTCACATAAAGCAGAAGTATTTTCCTCCACAATACTGAATGAGGTTTATTTGGAGGTGTAGTATGTATGTGTATATATGGACATTGGTTCATTTACTTGACTCTCAATCCAAGGGTAAAGGGTTCGAATCCAAGTCCGGCACTAATGCCCCTTGTCAGGACATTAAGCCATATTTCCCACTCTCCACCCAGGTGTAAATTGGTACGTGGCATTGCTGGGGGTAATCATAATTGCAGGGTCCTGAGTTAGAACAGCAATATTATTGTTGTTATTGCTATTATTATTATCATCATCTTCTTCATCACCATCATCATCATCTTTGTCATCAACATCAACAACAACTAGTTCCTGTAATTTACATGAGCTATAATTGTTATTTTACTGCCCTAATCAAGGTTGATTCCCCCATAGATTGGAGATAGATTCCCAAGGCAAGGACAACAAAATAATAGATAGCATGCATACCGGTAATTAAACAACTTTGTTATTCTCACAATCTCTGTTTTGATGACACATACAATGTAGCCTTTACATGTAAAATGCATTTTTAAAGTGAGTTTACATGTGTACTTGGACATTTAGCTGTGCATACATGTACATTTGTAGGTTTTAGTGTGGATGTAGTTGGAGAGTCCTGTTAACATCAATGATGATGTACTTTACCTTTATGTGTTCATGATGATAATGATGATGATGATGTGATATGTCTTGTTTACCCAGGGTAGCCTCATCAGTATTAAAGGTAAAGACCAGTTATGGTCATGCGATTGCATTGTGAAAGAAACGTTGTGGAATCTATCGGAAAAGGTTGATCATCTAGCATCTAGCATCTGCAAGGTTCTGGAATCATCAAAATGATAAGAAATTTGGCACTTTCTTTGTAAAGTTACAAGCACTAAACACAGAAAGATGTATATGGGACTACCCTATATCTCTCACAGACCATGAGAGAAACAAATTTACCAAATATATTAATTAGTAGGCGGTTTCCCGGCAAATTTTTTATCATCATGTATTAGTCAAAACATATTCTTTCACATGATTGGTAATGAGAGCTTCCATTTCATTTTTTGAAATTAGGACGTTTCCAATACTGGTCTTTACCTTTAAAACTGTTCTCCCTGAGGGCTCTACCAGTCTGCCATCATATATATCTACCCTGGCCTTACAGTTGCAGGTACCTGCATATATTAGCAGAAAAAAGCCCTGGAACTACACTGGACGTGTACATGTACTGTACATACCTTTAAACCATCTTGCCATTAAATAAGATATTGATTTTAATGGATTTATGCATATAAAGTTTTATGGAAGGACACTATTGGACTCTAGAGCCTGTATATGTATGTCCCAGCTGAAGGTATTATATGACTATCTATCTTTGCACTGACCTATTTAATCAATTTTATAGGCCTGCAGAGTGCAGGACAGAGGTGACAAAGGTGTACTGTATTTTAGTGACTATGAATAGGGACTTTTAGATTTGCGTGGACTGATACGTGTAACGTCGTCCATTCAAGGCAGTGCATCAAAAGGACGTCGATCGTAGCAATCCACGTTGTCGTTGTGCAAATCTAAATGTCCCTGCTGACAAGGAAGTAAAGCTTGCATGTTTTACGGCC